GCTGCCTGCCACTGGCAGCTCATGAAGCAGCTGGTAGGTAACATCTGTATTTTGGATCCTGTGTGACCTGGGGCAGCCTCCGTGGGCAGGACCAGAGCTTGGGGGTGTTCTGGATGCCAAGACTGTGCCCCCTGCTGGATAGTCAGGAAAGCAGGTGCCATCTGTGGGCACTAGGACTTGTTATTGCAGCTGCTACTTGAGCCCTGGACTCAAGCTGGTTGCTGGCAGAACCAGCTGGCCGTTGCCAGTGGCTGGGCTCCTGCTCATGCCCCTGTAGCTCTTTAGCTGGTTCAAGTTGTAATTGTTAGAGGTCACACAGGAGGTAGGGGCTTAACTCCAGTGCCTTGGCTAGATTCCAGTTTGGGACATTTCTGTCCTGATGTCCTGAATTCCACTTCCCCAGTCCCTGGAGGAGATTAGCCTGTGGTGGCGTGCAGCTATTAAGCTCTTGGCTCTGTTACACCTTAGAGGGGTCGGCTTTGCATCCTGGGTGTGCGTACATCCTGAGGCTGCACAGTTCTCTAATGGGGGGCTCCTGGGAGGCCAGTCCCTCCTTCTGGCATGGGACAGGCCCATATAGAGCCTCCTGGGGCTCTAGGCCAGGGTGCTCGATCCTTGTGCCATGGTCCAGATCCAGGCTGTGGAGCCAAGTTATCCAGTGGCTCCCCAACAGGTCCAGAATTTTTTTTGGTGGGGGGAAGCAGTAGCAATTAACACCGTCACTGCTCCCCCACAGCCAAACTTCTGATCTCCATGCAGCTAGATTGGCTCTGGCCCTCCATGGCTTGATTGGACTCTAGCCCCATGCAGCATCTCTTCACATTTGTACTTACAGGGACAGCTTGTGACGCAGTGGGGACCAGCAGCCTATTAGGGCCCAGTATAAACCTGCCTGGCTCCAGCTCCCAACCCCAACCTTTAGTATCATGACCTGGGGATTCAGATCCTCTTGCTCTTTTATCTCTTCTAGGTGCTGGCCCCAACAAGGTGGGAAAAAGTTGATAGCAAGTGTCCAGGGGCTCCGCCTTTTAAGTATGATGGAGCTTCTCTAGGCAGCCAGGAGTTGCTGCTCCCAGCCAGCTGGCTTCTTGCATTTCACTTATTAATGTTTCATCCCAATGAAAAGCAGGACCAAACAACTGCATCTCAAGGGGTGTTTGCAGTTCTAGCTTTGATGCCAGTGGCCACCAGGCCAGGACCTGTTTGAAGTGCTCGAGTCAGTTTGGTTGTGTGAGACATGCAGCATGGTAGTAAGGCAGGTGTGTGTGGGGGGGAGGGGTATGGTTGCTACTGGGAACCCCTGGGCAGAGGAAGGTGGGTGGGTTTGGGTGCCCCTTCCCCTGCCTGTCCTAGGGCTCAGGGCTTTTCCCCTCCAACCCTAACCCAGGCCTGTGGTAGCCAGAGTTCACCCCTGTAGAGACCCCTGAGTTCCAGCTGGGGTGAACTTGGCCCCATTGCTACTGGGTCTTTTGGGGCACTGTGCTTTTGCCTATGGGGGCCTGTCCCTAAATTTGCACCCACTCCCCACACCCCTGCGTTGCTGGGTGAAGCTGAAGATCTCAAGACGCGGCTGCCTGCAGCCAGAGCTGGAGGGTGCTAGGACCTGGTGGAGCTGAATTCCTTTTGCAGTGGCAGACAGTGCATAGGCTAACCCAGAAACAGGGGAATCCTGGCTGCTGTTTTCCAAGAGGGCTTCCCCAGCACCAAAGGAGACTCCCGCCACCCAAGCCCTGACCCGGGAACCTACGCCAGACCAGGTAAGAGCTCCCCCTCGCTTGGTCCCCACCCCGTGCAAAAGGAGGACAAGCCCCTGGCACTGGGGAGAGCCTGGCAGGGTAGAAAAGCTGCTTTTCCTCTTTTGATTTTTTTTTTAGCTCCTCTCCCTTCAGGGTTTTCCCAGGCTGGAGCTTGCAAGGAGATGTGACTGGGCAGAGCAGCTTGCTGGGGCTGCCGGGGGCCTCAGAGCCCCAGAAAGCTGCCTGA